CAGAGTCTCACTCTGTTGTCCAGGCTGGAGTGCAGCAGCATGCTCATGGCCACCGCAGCCTCAACCTTCCGGCAGGCAATCCTTCCACCTCAGCCTTCCAAGTAGCTGGAAACACAGGTGCATGCCACCACATCCAGCTAATTTTTTGATTTATGTAGAGAGAAGTCTTGCCAAGTTGCTCAGGCTAGTCTCGAACACCTGAGCTCAAGCAATCCTTTCATCTCCACCTCCCGAAGTGCTGGGATTACAGGTGTGTAGCACTGTGCCTGGCCTGTGTGTGTATATATTTAAATGCATGTTATTATTTCTGTAAGGACATAGAAAAAACACTGATAAGAGTTTGTTTTCTTTTTCTTTTTTTTTTCGAGTTGGAGTCTCACTCTGTCACCCAGACTGGAGTGCAGTGACTGCTCCTGGCCACCGCAGCCTTGACCTGCTGGGCTCCGGCGATCCTTCCGCCTCAACCTTCCAAGTAGCCGGAACTACAGGCACATGCTACCACACCCGGCTGATTTTTTTTATTTATTGTAGAGAAGAGGTCTCGCCAAGTTGCCCAGGCGGGTCTCGAACCCGCAGGCTCAGGCAATCCACTCACCTCAGCCTCCCAAAGGTGCGGGATTACAGGCTGAGCCACCAAGCCCGGCTTGTTTGTTTGTTTTCCAGAGAGAGAGTATCACTCTGTTGCCCAGGCTGGAGTACAGTAATGTAATTATAGCTCACTGCAGACTTGAAAAGTGATCCTCCCACCTCAGCCTCTCAAGTCACTGGGACTACAGGTGTGTGCCACTATGCCTGACTAAATTTTTTTTTTTGGCAGTGTTGGGGTCTCACTTTGTTGCCCAGGCTGGTCTCAAACTCCTGGCCTTAAGCAATCCTTCCACCTTAACCTTCCAAAGTGCTGGGATTACGGGCATGAGCCACCACATCCAGCTAATGGTGATTGTTTTTGAAGAAGGGAAACCAGGGGAGGAATACTACATTTTCACTATTTTTAAAAATACCTTTTGAATTTTATACTATGTGCATGCATTGCCTATTCAGAAAATAAATAGCTCTACATAATTATTCTATATTTCTCCAATCAATAAGTGATGGATACTATTATAAGTAAAGTTAAATTAGGGAACAAGATAGGTTTTCTGTGCTCCTAGAGATTACCAGGCCTTGAAGCAATAGATTTAGTAGAAAATGAAATTCACGGTAAGATTCCTGGTGTGCCATACAGTCAGGAAGTCATGACTATGTTTAAAAGGTCTGTATTGGTACAGAAGGCAGTTTTCATCTTTTTCACTCTTGATTTCCCTCATTTAAAATAAGACCCAGACATACTAGGGTTGTAACAAATGTCCTGAGACGAGAAAGAAAACGAATGCTGTGGATAATGGTAGTCTATCCCCAGTAATAAATGTGAAGTGGAATTCATTACTAACCCCTGCCCCTAACAATAAATGTGTGTGGTCTTATCAGTAATGCTGAGGACTGGTCATACCTTGGTATCCAGAATTCCTGAAGCACTCGGGTGTAGGGATCAAAGGGGGTAGACTAAGTAAAGTTATATGTCCTGGAGGCTGAGGGGCTAACCAGGTGCCTCAGGTTACCTGGGTGGCAGGAAGCACAGGGGCCGCCTTAGGTGGGATTCTTAGCTCCTGCTCCAGGAGGCAGCAGGTGGTCAAGATGGTGCCAGTGGGAGCAAAGGTCACGGAGTGCCTGTGGCAGGCTAGAGGCTGCAAGGTGTGCTCCTCCAACCAAGAGGCCTGTAGACGCACTGGAAAGAATCACGATTCAGGGATAGTGAGTAGAATTTTCTCCGGTTGGCTCCCATGCCAAGCCCCTTGGGGTCTAGTTTCTAGGATTAAAAACTTCAGTTCCAACGTTTACTCACTAGATATGTCCATTCTGGGAGAAGCTCAAGGGCTGATGATGATTCTTGTCTATGAACACAGTAATATCAATACAGTTGCCAGAGTCTGCAGTGCTTCCAGGTCAATATCAGGTGCTAATGGAGGAATCTATGGATGTGCAGGAACCACGGGGCCAAATTGTTATCCCACTACCAGGGGGAGGGGAAGGTACCTTTCTGCGGCAGCTCTCCCACAAAATGAGGGACTGCTCTGCTGCTGATGTGGCTAGATTTGCTTATTTTGATAATTTCTTCCCTGGGCTATAGATCTCAATTCTGGGAGAAGCAACTTCTTTTTCTTTATTTTCATCTTTTTAAATATCTTGGGCTTTGCTGGTATGAACACAATTATCATTGCTAGGCTGGTTCTTCAAGGCTTTCTAGACTTGTCAGCTACAGTATCTGATTGGTGTATTTACTTCAGTGCTTCCTCCTCTTTATGGCTCTATGTTACTAGAAGTTATTGTCTAGCATCTGTGCTACTAAGTCATAGAACTTTAGACACAGTAGTCAAAAGATCGATCTATCTTGTGCACTTTGAAAATATGAATGCTAAAATTGAGGGAGGAAAGAGAGCAACTAATCTATTCATATTTAGGCCAGGTGCGGTGGCTCACACTCGTAATCTCAGCACTTTGGGAGGCTGAGACAAGAGGATTGCCCGAGCCTAGGGGTTCAAGACCAGCCTGGGCAACTTGGTGAGACCACGTCTCTACAATAAATCAAAAAAAAAAAAAATTAGCCAGGTGTAGTGGCACGCACCTGTGGTTCCAGTTACTTGGAAGGATCACCTGAGCCCAGCAGGTCAAGGCTGCAGTGGTTGTGAGCATGCCACTGTACTCCAGCCTGGGCAACAGAATGAGAATCCTACTCAACATAATAATAATAATAATAATAAGTATAATAATCTATTCATATTTAAAGACAAATGCTCTTGCTAAAATTAGTTGACAATTTGGAAAAATAAATTTCATCTCACAACAAATACCCAAATGTATTAAAGAACTTAAATATGAACAGAATAACTAGGAAATATATGTATATATAGTTGGTAAAATAGATTACCAAAAGCAAAGGTTTGAGTTTATGTTGCTGCTGCCACCCATGTAAAAAAAAAAAATACACTGCCTCTTAGTGCAGGGACACTTTGCAGGGCAGGAATACCTAGCTCAGAAAGAAAGACGAAGAGGTTGAGGCTGCGATAGCATGATCATGCCACTGCACTCCAGCCTGGGCAACAGTGTGAGACCCTGACTCAAGAAAAAGAAAAAAACCGGGCGCATTGGCTATAATCCTAGCACTTTGGGACAGGCTGAGGTGAGAGGATTGCCTGAGCCTGCTGGTTCGAGACCAGCCTGGGCAACTTGGCAAGCCCTCATCTCTACAATAAATCAAAAAATAAGCCGGGCATGGTGGCACATACCTGTACTTCCAGCTACTTGTAAGGCTGAGGTGGAAGGATCGCCTGAGCCCCGCAGATCGAGGCTATGGTGGCCATAAGCGTGCCAGCGCACTCCAACCTGAGTGAAAGAGTGAAACTACACCACCCCCCCAAAAAAAAAGAAAAGAAAAAGAAAAAAAAGGCCAAATGGTGCTATGTATATAGACACATATAGCTATATCAGAAAAACACTGGCTACTGTTAAATGTTATATAAATACAGCATACATATGGAAACGTGCACAGATCACAAGTGTGCTGAAGAAGAGCAAACCATAAAATTATACACTAACGTGGCCAGGCGCAGTGGCTCAAGCCTGTAATCCCAGCCCTTTGGAGGGCCTAGATGAGAGGATTGCCTGAGCCTATGGGTTCAAGACCAGTCTGGGTAACTTGGCAAGACCTTGTCTCTACAATAAATCAAAAACTTAGCGGGGCGTGGTAGCACGCACTTGTAGTTCCAGCTACTTGGAAGGCTGAGGCAGAAGTTTCACCTGAGCCCAGCAGGTCGAGGCTGCAGTGGCTGTGAGCGTGCCACTGCACTAACTGGGCAATTAAAGGCAATTAATTGTATGGAAAAAATACCAAACCCTTCTCTAGTAATTAAAGGGTTGCCCATACTGAATAACACATAATGTCCTATGGTAGAAGGTGCTGGAAATAGGCTCTTGTACACATTCCTAGTGGGTATGTAGAATAGTTGCTTATTGTGAATGTGAGGTAGGGAGGGACATGGGAAGGAGGTAGCTATGTGTGCTTTGCAGTGGGTATCATGAGACCACCACCTGTACAGACACTTTTTATATAAGTCTCACAGAAAACTATTGAATACATGAAAAAAAAAAAACGCCAGCTGGGCATGGTGGCTAATGACTATAATCACAGTAATTTGGGAGGCTGAGGTGGGAGGATCGCTTAAGGCCAGGAGTTCCAGACCAGCCTGGGCAACATAGTGAGTGAAACCCCATCTCTACAAAACATTTAAAAAATTAAAAAATAAAAGTTTAACTGGGTGTGGTGACACACACCTGTAGTCCCAGCTCCTTGGGAGGCTGAGGTGGGAAGATCACCTGAGTCAAGGAGTTAAGAGGTTACAATGAGCTGTGATTGTGCCTCTGCCCTCTAGCCTGGGTGACATAAAATGAGACCTGTCTCTTAAAAGAAAGAAAGAAAGAAAGAAAAAATTGCAATATGTTAAGTGAACACATCAAACTGTATAACTGGATATGTGCTAAAAAAAACTATTTGTTGGTTTTTTTTTAACTAAATAAAAAGCATAATCCCATTCAGTTTTCGGTTTTTGTTTTGTTTTGTTTTTTTGAGTTGGAGTCTCAGTCTATCACCTAGGCTGGAGTGTGGTGGCACGCTTATGGACACCACAGCCTTGACCTGCTGGGCTCAGGGGAACCTTTCACCTCAGCCTTCCGAATCCCTGGAACTATTGGTGCACGCCACCATGCCCGGCTAATATTTTGATTTATTGTAGAGACAAGGTATTGTCAAGTTGCCCAGGCTGGTCTTGAACCCATGAGCTCAGGCAGACCTCACACCTCAGCTTCCCAAAGTGCTGGGATTACAGGTTTGGGCCACCATACCTGGCCCTGTTTTGTTATGAGTGATATACATATAGATTTGCTGAGAAAATACTGGTAGGTCTTACATCAAAATGTGAATATGTTTAAATTTGGATTAAGAAACATAGATGGCCAGGCTTGGTGGCTCAAGCCTGTAATCCCAGCACTTTGGGAGGCTGAGGTGACAGGAAGGATTGCCTGAGCCCTTGGGATCAAGACCAGTCTGGGCAACATGGTGAGACCTCATCTTTACAATTAAAAAAAAAAAAAAAATTAGCCAGGCGTGATAGTGCATGCCTGTAGTTTCAGCTACTTGGAAAACTGAGGCAGAAGGATTGCCGAAGCCCAGAAGGTCGAGGCTACGGTGGTCATACGTGTGCTACTGCACTCCGGCCCAGGTGACAGAATGAAGCTCCACCTCAAAAAAAAAAAAAGAAAGAAAGAAAGAAACCTAGATGATTTTTATTTTTCTCCTTGTATTTTTAAATATTTTTCATGTTTTCTGTAATGAATACTAACTAATTTTGTAATTGAAAAAAATTAATATAGGTAATAAAATTTTTTTTTTTTTTTTTAAAGACCAAGAGATTTATTAAAGCGGTGGTTACAGGGGAAAAGGAGAGGGGTCTGTAACCGTGGGGGAGGGGGAGGGGGAGAGAGAGAGAGAGAGAGAGAATAAAATTTTTTTTTTGAGTTGGAGTCTCACTCTGTCGCCCAGACTGGAGTGCAGTGGCACCCTCCTGGCCACCGCAGTCTCAACTTGCTGGACTCTGGTGATCCTTCCGCCTCAGCCTTCCAAGTAGCCGAAACTACAGGCGCGCGCTACCATGCCCGGCTAATTTTTGATTTATTGTAGAAACGAGGTCTCGCCAAGTTGCCCGGACTGGTCTCGAACCCCGGGGCTCAGGCAATCTGCTCGCCTCCCAAAGTGCTGGGATTACAGGCTGAGCCACTGAACCCGGCCATAATAAAATAATTTTAAAGTTTTCTATTATGCGATTATAGAAAGTCCATATTCTAAACATTATAAGTTTTCTTTTTATATGTTCCATCTGCACATGAAAGAAAATGAAGACCAAGCCTGGTGGCTCACACCTATAATCCCAGCACTTTGGGAGGCAGAGGCGAGAGGATTTCCTGAGTCCAGGGGTTCTAGACCAGCCTGGGCAACTTGGTGAAACCTTGTCTTTACATACGTCAAAAAATTAGCCAGGCATGGTGGCACATGCCTGCAGTTCCAGCTACTTGGAAGGCTGAGGCAGAAGAATTCCCTGAGTCTAGCAGCTCAAGGCTGCGGTAGCCATGAGCGTGCCACTGCACTCTAGCCCGGGCAACGGAGTGAGACTCCAACTCAAAAATAAAATAAAATTACATAAAATTAGACTGATTTTATCTTCATCTAAAAGTGTTAAGAAATTTTATACTCGTCTTTAAAGATATGCATGTTCATGGGTTTGAGACCAACCTGGGCAACTTGGCAAGACCTTGGCTCTACAAAAAAAAAAACAAAGCCGGGCCTGGTGGCTCAGCCTGTAATCCCAGCACTTTGGGAGGCTGAGGTGAGAGGATTGCCTGAGCCCCGCGGGTTCGAGACCCACCTGGGCAACTTGGCGAGACCTCATCTCTACAATAAATCAAAAAATTAGCTGGGCATGGCAGCGCGCGCCTGTAATTCCAGCTACTTGGAAGGCTGAGGCAGAAGGATCGCCGGAGCCCAGCAGGTCGAGGCTGCGGTGGCCGGGAGCGGCCACTGCACTACAGTCTGGGTGACAGAGTGAGACTCCAACTCAAAAAAAACAAAACAAACAAACAAAAAACAAACAAACAAAAAAAGTGCATGTTATGGTTGCCTCTGGTAAAATCCAGAATCTTGATAA